TCCTACCTTAAATTAGGGTAACCCATGTCTCTCTCTCTCTCTCTTTATTCCACCCACCTTCTCATGCTTCACTTTCTCTAAATCTCGTAAATCCACCTTCCATCACTATTTAGAAAATTCTAGATTTAAGGCAAAATAGAGGAAAAATGTGATTGAAATTTTTATTTGACCAATTTATCCTCAATTTGCTTGTAGCATCGTAAAATTAAACAAGATATTTGATATAAGATTAATTTAGATCAAATTTCAATAGCAGGAGAATAATTTTAAGTACTTTAAAACTCTAGGACTAAATTAGTCACTTTTTGAAAATTGGGGGACTATTTTGGGTTTTTGCTCTATGAAATATATATTACAGTTTTAAAAAGTGATAGTAGTTTTTGATGTGATATACAAGATTTGAGTGCTATGTGTGTAAATATGGAAGTTTAGGTACTAGATATGTAATTACATTAGACTTGTGCGCTATGTATGTAAATGCCCCTAAAAATTAACGATCAGTTTGGGATTCAAACATTCATTGGTGTTAGCAATAGTGGCTCATGAAGCTTGGAATGGGGGCATATGGGTCCACAAAATACCATTTTTAGGGAAAGCTTTGGGTTTTAACCCTATTTTATCCCAAGCCATATCTGCAAGCCATAGAGCAAAACAAGATAATGAAAATGGTGAAAAGCCATTTCAATTTGAGGGAAAGCTTTGGGTGCTAATATATGCATGGATGGCTTTGAGAAAGAAAAAAATACAAGGAAGATGGCTAGCATATAAAAGAAGTATTACGCGGAAAAAAACATGTACCCTTTTCTTAGGAAGGATTGAGAAAAAAAATACAATAAGCTTAATTGAAGTTTAGATTACTATATCGACAATAAGGTATAGCCTTGCTCATTATCCAAATATAACAAAGATGGTTAAACAACCATTTTGTAAGCACTGTTTGGAAAATTATCATGCAATGCTTGAGCACTATGGTTAAAACCTGACATGTGAAGTAGAATAAATAATTCTACTTTTCTTTTACTTCACTCAGATGTTAAAACAAATTCATTTTCATGAGAGCTGAACTTAGCAAAGAAAACACTCTAGGTATGCTATGTCTTACTTCCAACAAAATTTTTCTGTCATACGAGTAATTTATTCAATAAACAAAAAAAAAAGAAAGAAAGAAAACATGCTAAAAAAATAAAATAGGGCCCAGCATTTGCGTTATAGCACATAAGCTTATATGTATTTTATTTTGCTGTGGCTTTCCATGCTAATGGTGTAGAAGATGTGTTACGCTGCATTGTTGGCATGTATGATTACACATCAAATTTAAGGATTATGTGCCATAATGATTCCCGAAATGAATTATGGCACTTGGCACATGTTGACTTCAAATGATGGACATGCTCATCAATCTTAATCATGTTAATAACATTACATTATATAGAGTTATATCTAAGTTTACTTTTATATTTTTGATGAAAGCATCCTTTATATTTCAACTTGTGCTTAACTCACATCACGACCTTAGAAAACTTTTAAATGTATTAACTTAAGTCCATAAATGCGACCTTGATCAATCCTTAGAATTCAGAGGGCCATACATATGACTTTTGCACAAAAATAAATCACTTTGATTTTTTTTTTCTGTCACGATATGATTTATCATCCCGGCTTAGTTTTGAAATTAATTACCCTCAAGGATTATGCAGGTCTTTTCCCTGGTCATGCATATCTTTACCCATATCAATGGTTGGCATTTTCTTTAATCCTTTACCATGTAGATATGCCAATTCACAAACATACGCACGTGTATATTTATTTATGTGTGGCTTGCATAATTTCTTTAGTAATACTATTAACTAGGATTACATGAGTATGCTTGCATCGATCTTTTCTCATTATATTATGTAAAAAAATATATTTCACATTTCATTCTCTGTTTAAGCCTATGTTCTTTATGGATTTAAAATGCTATTTTTATATTTCACATTTCATTCTCTGTTTAAGCCTTGTTGACCTCATTTTTAGTGAGGTCTTAGCCTCTCCTCTAATCCCAATCAAATATGCATATTTTGAAGTTATGATAATGACACAAATTTCATACCCAAGCTATGCAATGTATTACCTAATTGTTTTAATATTGAATCAACTTAGTCTTCACAGGCATCCCTCACACTGCTCTGACACATACCTCAAGATATTTTTTCTAACAAACTCGTTATGAAGTTTAGAATTTATCTAAGGGGCTGTTTATTTTTAATAAAAAGGAATATAAAGTAAAAAAAAATATATAAAGTAAACGCAGTGCATTTAAAATATTTTTGAATTGTTTGGATGAGTACTATAAATGCAATAGTTTTTTTTTATTGTGTTTTGTTCGAAAAAAAATTTGTCCAGCATAAAATTCTACGCCTTATCGATGTACGGTGGAAAACCGTAACCAGTGAGATGCAACTGAGAGGGGATTGGGGGGTGGTGACCAACGATGGGGTGGCAAGTTGTGGGTAGTGGTGGAGGGTTTTGGCTGGCAATGGGCTGTGAGTGGTGGCTAATGATGGTCGGCTATGTTTCACATAAACAGTGTATTTGGAATTCAATCAAGTCAGACAATTTCCATACTACATAGAAATAGACTAGATACAAAATTCCAAATACATTGTTATTTTACTCGTTTATTTTTTGTTCCGGACAGATATAATAAATTTTAAATTTCCTGCCTTTGGCTTACTTAGCAGTTTAACTTGCAACCAAACCCTAACTTTTGTCAAGAAGGAAGATATGTTGAAGATCCTATACTAGCAATTTCCTTCCCATTGCGAGCATCTATTTATCGAGCCCTACTCATCTTGTTTCCCGCTCTTTTGGATATTCCCCAGTTGATTCCATCCATTGATTCTCACTAATTTCCATATTATAGTTCTCACCTCGCTTGATTTTCGCAACTATATTTCCCATCACTCTTCTCGTTTTCCCGTCTAGTGATTATACTATGTCTTGATCTCTATATCATGCTTTTTTTTTCTCCCTTTTTGTGTTTGCTCTGCTCTATTTGATTGCCTATTAGGATTAAAACCTTATCCAACCATTGGTGGATTGACGGCCTTGTCTTGCTGCAAGGTGGTAGTCAATAACCCACATCCCATTTAAACTTAAATTTTGCCGATTTCTAACCCAATTTAGTCGAAATGCGTCATTGAATGGATGATAAAATGAAACTACACAACTTATTAAGAGATTTATCATGAACACTCATCAAAATAAACTGAGGCCTTCCCATATTTAACCAATATAATTGTTAAAATTTATCGAAATAATGAAGCATATATTATCTATAATTTAGTCAAATCTTAATACATTTAATCATCATAATACTTTATCATCAATTTATTTTACTTTATTAGTGTTATGATCCTTGTATCATTACACAACCATTTCTTTTTGAAGACATAAAATTTCTGTTGAAATAAAGAATAACTTCTCTCATTGTGATTTTAGCCTCTATTTTTTATCCAACATAAATTTTCTTATAGCTAATCCTACTAATGCTTCTATGTCTATTAAAGTTTCCCCAATGATCGTTCTCTTTTGATCAAATGTATTCGATAGTTTAATGACATTTGTAATGTACTCAATGATAGATAATTAAGTTAATAGAAAATCACCCTATCAATTTCCCACTCATCTTAACATTTGTTTTTTTTCTCTATACACTAATCTTCCTGCCTTTATTTTGTTGTTATCCTTCTCACCGTACAATTCCTTTCTACCTTTTCCCAATATCCTCGGTTTTTTCCCCATTCCATTTATTTATTTCAAACAATTAATATTTACTCTTATTTTAATTATTGTTTTCACCATATTTGCCATCTTTTTTTTAACGTCTCAAAATTTATGTCACTACTCTAATCTTAGATTTAGGTCTTGTCAGCCATTGCCAATGTTTCACTGCAATTATTTTAAATTTTAGTGCAAATCAGGATTTGTGCCATAAATTTCGCAGTTGATTGTGGCCTAACTTCTCTCATCTAGGCTGGGATAGGCAATACTTTTTTTCTGATAGATGCATAACTTGGTTTATTGGTCTCTCACTCTCTGGAAGTACCTTGGTGTTTGAAAGTTGATGTAATTTGGTTTGTGACATTAATAAGTTATTTTTAAGCTTAAGAAAATTTTTTGAAGTTTTTACACTTAATTTTTAAAATATTGAATTTTTTTGTTTTCTTTGAATATTCTTTATCCCATGTTTCACTAACTATTTACCATACACATATTGTAAATGATCCTCCTACCGCATTTAGTATTTTATTTGCACTCACACAATATTCCTTTGCAGGCCAATCTTTGAGAATAAAAATGTCATTCTAATACAAGCTATATGTCATTATATTAGAACCAATGTTATTTTAATAAAATTTACAATCATGCTATTTGAACCTGAGTAAATCTAAGAACAATTAATGTAAGAATATATATTTTATCTTGATCAAGATGATAGATAGATTTATAAGAAGAATATTTCAATAATAGTCATTTGTAAATCAAATATGTCACATTAAATTCAAAGAAGTAAATCATACATGTCAACAACAACAACAATGATAACGACGACGACAACAACAACAACAAACATTTGTCCCACTAAGTGGGGTCGGCTACATGAATCCTTTTTCTTCATTTTGTTCTATTGAGTATAATATTTTCATTTAATGCTAATAAATAACATCATTTTTTATGCAACATGCCCAAGTTTTTTAAGGTCTACCTGTACCTTTCTTAACATGAGTCGAATCTAAAACATTTACTCTTCTAACCCGATTGACATTTACTGTGACCAAACCATCTAAGGTGACTATCTCTAATCTTATCCACTGGAGCTACACCAACCCTTTCATGAATATATGCCTTTCGCATTTTGAATCATAACATTTCTATGAAATTAAAAAAAAAGATGCATTCTAATGCTGCCCAATGGTGGTTGATATCTCTCACTTTTTTTTATTGTTTATTTTCAGGAGAAGAAACTTCAAGAAGAAATTCAACAACTTAAAGATGAGGAGAGCAAGATGGATTCCTATATCGAGGAACAAAGAGCTGAATCAAAAAAGCTAGAATTCGCCATTTCAAAAATCCAAGAGGAATTTAATAGGTTGAGGATACAAAGGGATAGATTGCAAGATAAACGAAAGTAAGTTCCTGCCTTTTATATGCCTTATTTTGGCAATTTTATCTTACAAATTCTTTGCAAATTCAATGTTTTGTCAGATTATTATGGAAAACAGAAGGGGAACTTTCTGCTGAAATCGATAAGCTTAAGTCAGATCTTGTGAAGGCCAAGAAGAGTTTGGACCATGCCACTCCTGGTGTGAGTATAAATTTTTGTTCAACGTGCTTCTACATAAATAATTTAAAATCTCAATATTTAATATTGATTTGCGGTAGTTTTTTTCTTGCTTAGGTACTTGTTTAGTTTTGGTTTACTATTGGAACTCTGAAAACCTTAACGGTTACAACTAGGCCATATTAAGTTTCTGTTTTTGATCTGTATTTTCACTGATTGTTTGATTGGAATGCTGTTTTTCATTTTTTTTTAAAGAACAATTGTTAAGTAAAAGATTATCCTTTATCGGCTGGTCTATATTGTAAAAGGAACATGATTTCTAAATCTGAAGAGAGTACGCTGCTTCAACAATCATAAATACAGTAACAATAGATGTGGCATCAACAAAATTCAGTGGTAGAATCTAAGTTGGATTCTTGTCTAGTTTTTCTTGCCCGCTTTTATAATTTGACTTTGAGTAGTCCTATTATATAACTTGTGGAATTTAAGAGCATGTTTTCGAATAGAGTTAATTGGATCAAGTTAGATGATTTGATTTGTAGTTAAGTTTTTTACTTTGGTTTGAACGTTGCATGAACAGGACTGTGTCTTAGTTAGCACAAGTGATTCGTGAAGTCCCATGGTTTTTTCAGTCAAGGAATGTTGATATTATGTGAGTATACTAGTTTGATTAATGTTTGATTTGCTGATAAATCCAGTAAGTTCTGATTTTGATCTGGATTTTGGGATGTGTGATAAACTCATGGAACTAGTCTGAAAATAAAAAAGGAATATTGAATCGAGGACTTGGAATTTTTCTTATTCTAATTGAGAGGGGGGAGAGCGGGAGAGAACAATTGTGCTCTTGGGACTCTTACCATAAGATTTCTCATCTCTTTGGCGGCGAGCTGAGGAGAGAGAAAGAGATGGATTGTGCAAAGCACACAAAAGAGATTTTCTGCACTAATCTTGTTATGAATTCAATGAGATTCATATTTGGGAAAGGATTTGTCTCGCTGACGTGAGTGCTGAATGCGCCCCTAACGCGGGACGCTATAAGCGTCCTAATGCGGGCGCTAAAACAGGACCCGAACATGGGCGATTCGACCCGCGGAGCCTTGCAATGGTAGAAACAGAGCGAAAGAGGGGTGGGGATTGCAAATTCTTGCGAAGGCGGGAAGAGGCGCGAACTATCACGATCCAAAGAAGTTTCACGGGCTGCTGCAGTGTATTCTGGATTCTTCTTGTCTTCCCCCCTTTTCCTTTTTTTGTAGAAGTTTCATGGGAGTCTATGAATTATTGTCCTCTATGTGAGTACGAGTCAGTTCTTGCTGTGTTTGTTTTATGATCTCCTGTGTGGAGTCATTTTCGCTGTTCTAGGGTTGTATCTGAGGAGGTGTTGGTGCTTCAGTTGTATCTTATTCTGGGATGGTGTTGTATCATTTCCTTTTCACCTTCTCCAATCAGTCTTCTACTCTCCTCAACCGTCAGCCTCCCCCTCCATCATTCTTGCACTCAACCGCCCCATACCTGCAGCTTTACCTTGCTATTCAGCCATCCTCCCTCCCTCCCAACACTCCCAATCAACTGTTCCTCACCCCACTACCGCTGCCCTTGTTGTTCGACACCTTCCAGGCTCTAGCCATTGCCTCACCGGTCACCTACGACCATCCCTAATTGTTGTCCCTGCACTTCTGCGCTGCCATCAACATTGTTTGGCTGCCACCACCCCTACTAGCCATTTCTACCCACCTTGCCGGCCTACACCACTCTTTGGATACACTTGAGAGTGTTTGCTTGTGTCGTTTTATATTTTGGTGTTGTTATTTCCCGTTTGTGTCATGCTGTATCCTATTTCAATATTAATTTAAATTTGCTTTTTTGTTTTCATTGTTTTTCCTACTAGTTCCAGTATCACCCGCTTTACGATGACCTCTTATAGTCTAGTATAATACATGATAGTGGCAGGTATGACTAGATCAATTAAATTTATCATCAACTTTCATTATATGACTTTACTCATTCTAATAAAATGAATGATAAATTAAAGAATCTGAACAACCCATGTCAAAATATACAGCATAACTCTTTACTCTTAGATATCCATAAGATAATACAAGTCCATTGTATGCTAGTGTTCTAAAAGATAGTTCATTTATTGAACTACATATATTCTTATGAACGTTGAAGTTAATTCAAATAACATCAAACTTTAATTATATTCATTACCTTAGCATGTTTCATATCTTATGTCAAATTATAAGGTAATAAATTCATAACCTGTTCGTCACTTGATCTCGATTTTGTCCTTCTCTTTATTTGTAACAATAGCTAGAACAATAATTCAGTGAGCCATAAAGTGTAACAAGATAAATATATCTAATGCATAATTCAAATGCTCAAGGAAAAGAAACAATATGGTGTGCTTATTATAAACTAGATATCAGGATTAAAATGCAACCAGAAACTGGTCTAGTGCATTAAATATAAATATTATAAAATGAAATAACTTGAATAATGGCATGTCATAATAATAAGTGCTTCAGGCTTTGTTTGATTCCACCTTTGAGAAAGTTCAACATTCCAATAAACGAAGTTAGGAAATTAAAATCGATATAATAATATCACTGTTTGAATAAAACAACGTCCCAACTGCGTTATTCAGGTATTTTGATCATTTTTATTTCAACGCATGAAAATATTGGGGCAGTAGGGTGAAAGCTGCGGAGCTTTCCTGCTTTAGAATGGAGGAAAAAAATAAGTGCGGTCGACACAACTCGTGTTAACAGGTCTAATCCAAGCAAGAGCTTCACATTCCATCATCGTTCTCTCCAACGCAACGGACATACACTGTGACCTTAGATGGAGCCTTAATTTTACTATTAAATTTTTAAAAGAAATGTTAAATGTCCGATCGTCATAAGCACTTTGTTGTTAAAGTATATTAGTGTCACCATATATCATAGGGTCATAACCCATTCTATCCATTAATATCCTACAGTAGAATAGAGCCTGGATGTAAACCAACATTTTTTGTATTGAATTACCCCTCAAATGAATATCAAGAGATTGAGGCCATTTTCTCCATTGGGGCTTACTTTCTGAGTTTGCAGCTTAACTTTTACAGTTTACAATAAACATAATATTATTAATTTATCTCATATAGTATGCTTTGTCTTAAGCTCCTTGCATTTGCACCATAGAATATTTAAGTATTTATTTTATTCATCATCTTACATTATGCATCAATAACTCGAAAATGCCCAATGTTTCACTCTTAAAATACTACATTTTAATAAAGTATTAGCATACTCCTAATACATTAAACATGTGATTGACATAAGCATGTATTTTGCAAAATAACGATTTTCAAATACGTTGCTTACATTCAAGTATAAATTCATATAAAATTTACATGCAAAAGTTTATAGAAGACTTGCTTCTTGAATTAGAGATTGAACAACATACCCAATTGCCGATCAACAACATGATAATTTTTCTTGCATTGATCACTATGAAATTTCATTCTTTTATATGCAAAATATGAAGTCTAGATATTTTATATTATAAAATTTTCTAAATTATAACTCAAATGTAAGTTAAAATAGCTTAAAAAAATGAATTTTACCGCAAAGCAACTTCTCATACAAATCTCTTAGCAAACTGAAACCAAAATTAGCTTACTAAAATATTCATGAAATTACTTATAAAAAATTTAACTTCTTCTTGGCTTTCTCCCCCCCTTAAGCTTGCTCTGGCTCTCTGTTTTCAATTTGTTAATTCTTGCTAGTATTCCGCCAAATTGCATAATTTTAAAAGTTAATTTTTTTTTGAAATTTACAAACTTTGGAAAGGTCAACTCAATGATTATCTTTGCATTTTAGTGTACTTATGTGCTTAGTTGTTGTTGTATCTATGCATTGTAGTGCAGCCGAGCTAATTTCTCTATAAGAAACTTTATATAAGTGTTGGGGAAGTAAATTTGCTTAAAGATAATCGGTCACATTATCTAATCTGGGTTACATATTGTACTCAACCTAACTAAAAAAAGGCTTCGAAAGAGAATAATTGGTTTCACAAAGCACAATAGCATATTGCTCAATATTTAAGGAGTAAGAAATGAATGCTAATCATCAGAAATTAATGATGAAATTTTAACTGTTAAACCAAAAGGCACCTCGTTATTTAAGAGTTTAACTTCATTCTAATTGAGGGGTTTCACAATCTCTCATACTTAAGTAATTGACATCCTCGTTTGTTCTCTAAACCCAAAATCATCCACCAAACATATAGGATTCTAAGGCAGCCCAACAGATTCGAGGGGTGGCTCCTACTATGTAATACTTTGTCGCATCTTGGGTTCAAGAGGTGACTCCCACGGCATAGCATTTTATTCTGTATGACACTTAATTCTCATATTTAGTCTAGTGTAATACTCTAATATCTTTTGTAACAGCCCAAACTCTCATCCATAGAAGCATTGTTTTTGTCCAATTGGTGTAACTTTCTAGCGGGTCACTCATCCTGAGAGTGCCGCCGCACGAGCATGCTTATCTTTGAATTTTCTGATGAAATTCCAACCATTACACCAAAAGATGCCTCGCTGTTTAAGAGTTCAACTTTTTTCTACCTAAAGGGTTTAACATTAGTGATTTTCAGTACCGTAAAGGGTGGGGACAAATTTATTCATTATAGCTTTTATGATCTTGTTTTAGTTTAGGCTTTTAACTTGGTCACCTTCTAAGTGGATGGGCAATAATTTAATATAATATTTGATTGTAATTTCTGTAATATCTTCACAACCTATTTCCTTCTATGGTGTAATTTTATTTTTTAAAAGCTGATTATCAAACATAATTACTATAATGAGCACCAATTGGTGCTATTAAAAGAAAGAACAGTTTAAGTGGATCTATAAAATTACCAAATTGTTAAGACAAGGCTTGTCTGATGCTGATATACTCAGCTTGTTATTCCCTATTTCTTACCGTTGGATTTTGTTTTTGAATAAATTACTGCAGCTGGATAACAATGGTATTTAATTGTATGAGTCAGAAATTTTCAATGAAAAAACTAATTTCATCGAGGTCTCTTTCCATTAAAGTCATTTTGCTTGTCTGTTTGCCATGTTTTTTTGACTGGAAATTTACATACATAGCATATATTTCTCATGTATTTACATATCTCACACAAACTTTTATATTTACATACATAGCACTTTGGTGATTTAAACATGTGTATGAAAAGATGCGTTTTACTTGTAAAAAATGATAATAGTGCTACTTTTGATGTTATATTAAAGATTCGAGTGCCATTGTGTGAATATGATAGTTTAGGTGTGAGATATGTAAATACATAAGAATTGTGTGCTATGCATGTAAATGCCCCTTTTTTATGTGTGTTCAAGTAACTTTGTATTCTACTTTTATTAATTTAAATATTAGGATACGAGAAGGGGACTGAATTCGGTTGACAGATATGTCAATGATCACAACATTGAAGGAGTTTTTGGTTCGCTTTTAGAGTTAATTGAATGCGATGAGAAATTCTTTACTGCTGTTGAAGTTACTGCTGGAAATAGGTACCATATGTTTTTGTCTCTCTGATCATTCTTTTCTAGTTAGATATATATATTTTTATTTGTTAATTTACATACATACAGCTCAATTCTTATGTTTTTACATATCTAACACCTAAACTTTACCTTTTACATTTACACTGCCCAAATATTCTTATCAAATAAAAAATACAATCATTTTGACTATTAAAAAGTGAAATACATCTTTTCATTCATAGGAGAGGTGGTGTGTATGTAAACATTGAAGTATAGGTGTTAGATAGTAATTGAGAGGGTATGTATGTCAATCTTTGATTTTTATCTGATGATTTGCTTTGAAATTTAGGAACATATTTTGACCACTTATATTATTATGATTGTTATTTCCAGCCTATTCCATGTTGTGGTTGCAACGGATGAGATATCTTCTAGGATTATTAGATATCTTACTTCAGAGAAAGGTGGGAGAGTCACATTTATACCATTGAACAGGGTTATTGTACAGCGAATAAACTATCCACAAAGCTCAGATGTGGTTCCTTTGTTAAAGAAACTAAAATTTCGTTCAGACTGTTCTGCAGCTTTTCAACAGGTATCCTTAATTCCTTTTATTGTGATATTTTCAAAGGAAATTTAAGACACCCCACACAGTTCTTATGTATTTACACATCTAACATCCAAAGTTTGATATTTGTACTTATAACACCTCAATGCCATAAACCTATGCATGAAAAGGTGTATTTCACTTTTTAAAAAGGTAGTAATGGTGGTATTTTTTTATTTGGTGTTAAAGATTTGAGTGGTGTGAATGTAAATATGAATGTTTAGGTGTTAGATATGTAAATAAATAAGAGATGTGGTTTGTATGTAAATGCCTCTAATCTAAATTTCCTAAATTTTTACCATTTCTCCTTCTGTTGTGATACTAACTTTTCTGAAGTTTTACCATTTGTTTGATTTACCCTCACTAATATTGCCTTCATCAATACTTGACTTATTTTGATTCTTCTTTTGTGCTAAAAAAGAGAGCAATTCTGTAGGATTCAACTGAAACTGGGATAATGGAATAGTGCTATTTTTAACCGGAATCATAATTTAGAAGAATTATAAGGTCAACCAACAAAGCTGTGTTCATTTAAATTTTGTAAATGATGTTCTCTTGTATCCTCAGTTAATACCTTGGATGGATCGCCACTTGCAATTTTCTAAATTTTGTTGTTCTACCAGACTAAATGCCACAAGCCCTGCAAGCCGTGCTTTATCCTTGCACGGACAATTGCACTAGCTTAAAAAGATGAATTAGTACCATCAAACTTAACCCACTCACAAGTCCTATTATGTTATGATGTTAAAAGCTCATTTTGACCTGGCAAACAGAGCTCAAATGGTTAATATGTATGGTAGTTTGGCCATTCATTTTCTGGATAAAATTTTGTAGTTTTCTTTTAAATTTTTTGTTTTATCTTAGCTGAATAATGGTTCAAATTCTTTTAAGCAAGTCTTGATTTCTCGATGAAGGCTTTGAAGTTTTTGATGATGACATTAAGTTGCACTATTTATTCTGTTTATTTTCAGGTATTTTCTAGAACAGTAATCTGTCGTGACTTAGATGTTGCCACGAATGTTGCTCGTGCTAATGGTCTTGACTGTATTACATTGGAAGGTACATAGCGAAAATCCTTTTAGGGAAATTTACATACATAACTCACAATTTTTATTTATTTACATATCTCACACCTAAACTTTATATTTACAAATAGCAGTTTTGTGCCTTAAACCTCTGCATGAAAATATGCTTTTTAACTTTTAAAAAATGTTAATAGTGCTATTTTTGATGTGATATTAAAGAATTGAGTGTTATGTGTGTAATTATTAAAATTTGGGTGTGAGTTATGTAATTACTTAAGAATTTTTACTATGAATGTAATTACCCAAACGTATGATACTACAGAATAGTCATCTTTTTATTCTTATTGGAAACCTGATTTCTGAACTTATGATAGGCGACCAAGTTAGCAAGAAAGGTGGCATGACAGGAGGGTTTTATGATTCTAGAAGATCAAAGCTGAAGTTTATGAATATTATCAAGCAAAGCAAAAGTTATATCATCAAGAAGACAGATGAGCAAGATAAGATTTCCAAGGAGCTTCAAGATATCCTTGGACAGCTTTTTATATTTATTATTATTATTTTTTTCTTTTGGCATTTAAACGTGTTTTCATCCATCATTTTGCAGATTTATTTAGGCTTTTGTCGGTACAACTTCTGCTATGTTCTCAATATTCATGCTAGTTTTGGCCATTTTACATGGATAAAATATTGAGAAATTTACATACATTTCACAAAATTCTTATGCATTGGCATATCTAACGGCCAAAATTTGATATCTACAATTATCACACCCTGTTGTCATAAACATATGCTTGAAGAGGTGTATTTCACTTTTAAAACGTTAGTAATTGTGGTTTGTTTGATGTGATATTTAAGATTTGTGTTGTATGCAAGTAAATATGATTGTTTAGGTGTAGATATGTAAATACATAAGAATTATGTGTATGTATGTTAATGCCTTTAAAATATTTTACTTTAGGTTGGGTATTATTATGTGCTTATATAGAGGGTTTTATGTTAAAGCCCCTTGTTGTTTAAGAGTTCATTCTACTCGAGGAATTTCACAATATTTCCCATTTAAGTAATTGATATCCTTGTTAGTGCTCATAAGTAGTACCTTAGAACCATCCACTAGATATATAGGATTCAAGAGTTGGCTTTCACAGTGTAGTATTTTATCCTATCTACGGTTCAAGAGATGACATCCATGGCGTAGTATTCTATTTTTTATGATACTTAGTTCCCATTTTCAGGTCTGTGTAATGCTCTGGTACCGTTTGTAAGTGCCTGGATTCTCAAACATCGAAGTGCCTTTTAGTGTAATGGTTGGAATTTCATTAGAAATTTAGAAGTTAAGCATGCTAGTATGGTAGCATTCTCAAGATCTGTGACCTCCTGGAAAGTTACATTAATGAGATAAAATCGTTAGGTTAAAATTTTAAAGCGGATAATATCTCAATGGGCGAGAGTTCGGACTATTACAATGATGAGTTTACCTAATTCATCCGACTTGATAATGTGGATAAATTTGTTTATGATTTTAAGCAACATAGAGCTTTTGCTCTTTATTTTTATTTTGTGTGTTTTTTTATTTGAAATAAAACTTGTTTGGCTATTTTATTGAAGTATAGTTGTTTCTAGAAACACTCAAACTTCTAAAAATTATTTAGAGTGTTTTATAAAATATGTAAGTTTGCTTTTAAAAGTACAAATTATAAAAAAAGTACACAAAGTAAATGTCTTAAAAAACAAAAGATGAAGTAAAATTAAAAAAAAAAAAACAAGCAAATTGATAATAAACAAGGCCTAAGTTTATTTTGTATTGTGTTATGTTGTGGTGTCCCATTTTAGGATTTATTAGTTTATAAGTATGTTTTTCATTGACTTGTCATACAATGAGATAAGGAAATTAATGGTACCATTATAGGATGGGACATCCTAAAATGGGACTATTTTAGGATTTTTTAGTTTATAAGTATGTTTTTCATTGACTTGTCGTACACTTAGATAAGGAAATTAATGATCTTGTCAGTAGACAACAGAGAATAGATGCGGAACATGGCCATATGAAGTCAGAATTGGAGCAAGTTAAATTGGACATAGCTAATGCTGTTAAGCAGAAGCAATCAATTTCTAGAGCCCTTGAGAAAAAGGTGCTGAAATCTCTTTGCTTAGTGTTTGGTTTTTTTAAGGCTTTCAGCTAGGGGTGTCAAAAAATGATTAGACAAGCCAACTCGACCCAAACTTTGAACTAGACCCGCCAATCTGAAATTGATCCGAAACGACCCATTAATATAAAAATTCGACCCACCTACCCCAAATTTACCCAAAATAGACACTAATTTGACCCAAAACCGACCCAAATAGCTGGTATACCTTATGTCAGCAGATTGATGGCGGGTTAGGTTCGAGTTGGGCTTTCTGATTAATATTCTGATCAAATTTGATTCAAGTAGCTTCAGTTCGGGTCTATTTTGGGTTAGATCTGAACCCGACTGGCACATCCATTCTTTCTGCCTTTTAGTTCGTTCATCTGACAGTGATAACTTTTTCATTTTACATGAAGGGAAAACTGCTAGGAAGCGCCCAAACACAGATTGATCAAATACGAGCTGGCATTGCAATGAAACGAGCCGAAATGGGCACAGATCTTGTCGACCAACTAACACCAAAAGAAAAGGAACTTCTTTCCCGTTTAAATCCTGAAATAACTGAACTAAAAGAGAAGCTTTTGGCTTGCACGACAAGTAGAGTTGAGGTATGAGTATTTATCTTTCTATATGACAGTAGTTTTTAATCCCAACTTTTACTTAACTTTCTTTGTAAATCTGAAATTAATCAACTAAAATTTTACAGATTGAAACAAGGAAAGAGGAATTAGAGACTAATCTTTCAACAAACCTTGTTAGAAGACAACAGGAGTTGGAGGCAATAATTTTATCTGCAGATTCTGGCACTTTACCTAGTGAAGCTGACCTCAAACGTCAGGAATTAGAAGAATCAAATGAAACCGTTCATGAATTAATGAAGCAGCTCAACCGTGTGATTCTTCTTTCAATCTGATTGCAATTTTATAATTATTTGATAGAGGCATTTGTATACTTACCACACAATTCTTATGTAGTTAAATATCTAGCACCAAAACTTTAATTTTTGCATATGTATACCATCTTACACATGCATTAAAAGGTGCATTTCACTTGTTAAAAGGTAAAATGATGATATTTTTGATGTAATATGAAAGATTTGGGTGGTATAAATGTATAAAAGTAAAGTTTGGTTGTTAGATATGTAAATATGTAGGAATTGTGCGGTATGTATGTAAATTTCTCTATTTGATATTGTGTATGCCTTTTACACTGGGTTAAAAATGTTTGCAGAGACTTTACAGAACATAGATGAGCTCACAAAGAAGATAAAGAATAACAGAAATGAGAAGGATCGGATTAAAGTAATGGATGCAGCGATTTATTTGTCTTTTGTCCTATTTTTGCTTGCTTCGAATTTCTAATGTTTTGCAGGGCGCTGAAGAAGAATACGAGCGTACACTCCAGGATGAAGCAAAAGATCTGGAGCAGTTACTTAACAAGCGAAATTTATTTTTGTCCAAACAAGATGATTGCAAGAAAAAAATTCGAGATTTGGGTTCATTACCATCCGATGCTTTTGAGAGGTAACTTTTTTTAGTTTTTTTCCTTTTTTTTGGATTATTTAAAATCTGTATCATCTTATTTTAAGTTTCAATTCATAGATCTTATTAGTAGCTGATTTATTATTTTTAGCTGTCTTTTGATGGCTGATATGGAGTCAATATGACATAGTCTACTTATTTATTTAGGCTTTAAAGTTCTCTCACTAGTTTATCTTTTCTTATACCTCACTTTAAATTATACTGGAGTTAACCAAAAAAATCCAATAGGAAAGTAAATTTTATTACTTAAAATAATGGGTTACAATCATGATTCAAAAACAAGAACAGAAAACACAACAACTATCATTATTCCTCTGGGCCGAAGAGGACAGCTATGGGGCAACGGTGAGAGAGGCTCGTGGGTAAGTTTGGGACGGTGTTAGTAGTAGGGAAGGAGGGTCTCGGTGTTGTTATGAGGGGAGTCGGGTGTGCAAACTATCACGGGTAAAGAAGCAGGAGGGGGTATGCGGCTTACAGGATATGCAAAAGGCGATATGCAGATCGTTAGGAATGTGGGGTGAGAGGCTTGCAGCAAGCAGAAAAGGGTGTGGATGTGGTTTGTGGTAATAAAATCAATGGGAAATGGAAGGAGTGGTGGCTTGAAACGAGCATGGGTGGCGCAGGCTAAGGTTCGCGAGCAGGGGAGAGGTATGTGTGGGAGATTAGGTAAATGTAGTCACCACCTCAGAGTAGGATACATGCAGAGCACCATCTGTTGTCGAATACATCCCTAGCAAGGGGAAATCGTGTGTAGGCAGAAATCTGAAATCAGAACAAAAACTAAACCCTAACTCGACAAACAACATATTTATAATAGGTAGATAGTAGGGAGGGAGGGAGGGAGGGAGGGGAGGGAATTCCCACTCAAGTGCTAGCCGGCTTCCCCATTGCTGAACTGAATCGTTCAGTTAATAAGCCCCACATCATTAAAGATTTAGGGAACAATTTTAATTAGAGATATTTACAAATGTAGCACATAATTCTTATGTATTTTCATGTCACACCTCAACGCTAATATCTACATGTATAGCACTTCTCTGCTTTATACTTGTGCGTGAAAAGGTATAATCAATTTGAAAAAGTGGTAATAGTGTAATTTTTGATGTGATATTAAAGACTTTAGTGCTATGTGTATAAGTATGAAAGTTTAGGTGTGGGATATGTAAATACATAAGAACTGTGCTATGTATGTAAATGCTTCTTTTAATTATTCTTAATATGTTACACAATTTCCTTAATCCTGCTTCCCTTTTTTTTGTCATTTCACTAATGCCAGGTTGTGCTCTTTTTCCTTGCTATAGTTTATCATGCATGAAATAATTTTGAATCAGCAATGTAAACTAAGCATCGTAATATGAATCTGAATTTTGATTAAAAAGGTCCTAACTGAAAAGCTGAGTGTTGCAAAATGAATATGCTATTATTATTTTGATAAATTTGAATAAGATATAGTGATAAATGATTATCTTAGAGAGAGTAGAGCCCATTTTAATGATCATAACAAAGTAATGAAAGTTAAACATTCTTTGGTAGTTATGGTGATCTAACTAGCCTCGGTATTAAGAATGAAAGGGATGATTCGGGATCAGCCTTATATAAATTGCGTGAATATATTATATTTTGATGTTAACACGGATCTGGTGCATAATTGGTGTGAAATGAAAAAAAGTTTATCAGGCCTATTAATGATTAAGATAGGAGTTCTAATGATGTTGCATTATATTTAATAGGAAATATCCTCCTCTGTCATGCCCGTTTTGACCCCCTTTCAGTCTAACATGAGACGTGACATGACATAGGAGGATAATCCAGTTAGTCACATTTTTTAAGAACATTCATTCTGATTTCACTAATCATGATCGTGTGAGTAGATAATTAATCTATTTAGATTATCACAGGGTTTAATAAACTTTCATAATCATTAAAATAGATTCGTCATATTTATAAATACAAAGCATGCATAATTTAAATTAACAAAATGGTCTATTAAGCTTATAAAAAATTAATTATAGAAATTTATACATACATAACTTGTCTTTACTTTACATCATACTTCTTTTTTTATTTTAACGTACGTCCAAAATTGAACATTAGAACTCTATGATATAAGACAAATTGGGTCACTTGATTATGATTCTACTTATTCATTTCCCTTGCCTGAAATATTAGGTAATATAATATTTGATGAGCTAAAATTTCTAAGGGTTAAGCAATTCTTATACAGGATTCAAAATACAAAAAAATGAAATAATAATATCTATATTGGTCTTTTAAATTAATTTGAGCTTTTTAAAACTTAAGACAATTAATTTAGTGCATAAGTTCTAAATTAAGTTTACTTTTTATTATTACATGTGAAAGACAATCATCAACAATAATTGTATTTATCAGTAAGTAAATAAGATACATCATTTAAATGCCTTTAATGCATCATAATAATCAATGGTTGGTATAAAATTATTTGCTTTTCTTTTCATTTCAATATTATCTTTATTGTTCATAGCCTTAAAAGTGTCATATGATGTAAGTATAGATTTTCGGACATTCATATTATTTTGTTATCACTTAGCTTGCCAGTTAAAATAGCCATTAACAAGGTTCAAGTTAAATCCAACATAGCAATTATCAAGGGTTAATCAATTCATGGTTGGACCATAATGTAACCATTTTTTAGAACCGAGTCGAAATTCCCCTTTGATCCCTAGTAAGGTTCTTTTCGTCATGTTCATCTCTCCTTGCTCAAATCATTATCATTTATCAATCTTTCTCACATAATATAACATTCCATATTTTTTTAATTAACATTATTATCATAAACATTTAAAATACTTAGTGCTAATTTGCACTTTCTATCTATTATTCTATATTAAAGCGCTTTAACAAAAAAAACTTAATATATACAAATTTTCATTCTTGTATTTTATTATGTCATCTTATAAAATAACATTAAGATTTGAGTAATACTAATGTAATAAAAATATTTTGAAAAAATCATGATTGTATTAAAATACATTAACTTTGTTGGCAACCTCTGGTGTTATGTACATACTTGATATGAAAAAAATTCTATATGCATTAGGACTATGAATTAAATCCTTATTGCATGAGAAGCCGAGTTCTGACCAAAATGATAGGAATTTTCTCCGGATGAATTTCTTTGTTTATATCTCTATGAGATTTGTTATTGATGTCCGAGTTAACCGTAACCGCAATAGAAATACAAATATTATTGCTGAATTTCAAAAGTGTTACAAACAAAAACTCTTGATAACAGGAAAATAACTACACAATCATTAAATGCACCCTAAGGCAATGGTGAAGGTGGTGGATGGCTGCCAGACAGCAGGTAGAGGGGTTGGTTGGGGGTTGCGGGCTTGAAATGACTTGGTTGCAACACTGGAAGGCCGAGAGGGCGGGAGGCTTCAGATTGAGAGGGAGGAAAGGTCTTGCCGCTGCTGTTGGTGGTGCTGTAATACTGGCGGCAGCAGCAGGGGGTGGGGAATAGGGCTGGCGACAGTGAAAACAGGGAAATGTGGTTTGCGAAGGTGATTTGGGGAAGATAGCTATCCTGCGTAATTGAGTTGCAGCCGGAGCACATCCCTACCTTTCGGATCCAACTCTAGAAGGAAGGGCAGCCCTAACGGCTGACTTGGACAGTAACGGCTGACTTGGACAGTAATTTGAAATTCTGGAAGACAAAAACTTACCCTAAACAAACAAAACAACAAATATATAATAGCTAGGAGATAGAATAGCAAGGGAGGGCTTCTCGTCTTAGGCGACAAACAAAAATGGTAAAGGGGGAGGAGCGGCAAATATAAAAGGCAAGGGAGGTCTTCAGCGGTACGACCCATGGGAGCGGGAGACGTGCCAGTCCAGCCTCCCGCTGGACCAATTGTCTGGTTTAGCAGCCCCCCCAAGCCCAAGGACAGTTGTCATAAACAAACTAATATCATAGGCTGTCAATTAAATATAAATAATTAAATTGGTGACTCAAAAATAAACAATCTCAGATATATTTTGACTTCAAAAGATTTTTCTTCTTTCATACCCTTACAAATACAATTCAAAACCAATCTCTATGTACGGAAGGAGTACAAAAAGTAGGATTTCTTACTTAATTTTCTAAGTTTCTCTCTTCTTTTTATTTTTTATTCTTTTTATCGTCTTCTTTGTTCTTTCTTCTATTCTCTTTTTCTCTTTCTTCTTAACTTCTTTTCTTCATTTTCTCAGTGTTTTTGCTTACCTTAGCCCTTTGTTTTGACGATTTCGCGTCCAGCAGCTTAACGGGAAAAGGGGATATGGATAAATGCTTCAGATAATGATTAAATACGTTTTTATATGTATATATAAGTTTTTATATGAATATATAAATTATAATATACTATTAAATTTCCTATGAGACCACTACATCCAAATGGCATATCGTCGGTGCATGCTATGGAGATGTGGGAAAAGTGAAGGAATTGCTGCAGTAAGTTTAATATGTAAATAGTAAAACTAATTAAAATATTAGGGATAATAAATTTGAAATTAATTAATAATTGCTAATATATTTCTGTATTTATATATTTTTGTATACATCAAAATAATCAAAATGAAATTTAGAATCCTATAAAAATATTGTCATTTTTGGAATAATAAAAACCTGTGTATCAGTTTTAGGAGAAATTTTATGATGCCATTTTGAAGTGTTGGGGTATTACGCCTTCTATGGGATGAAGGACACATTTATTTATTTGTATGCATATTTTGCACTCATCCATATGATATGACAAATTGAATTTGAATGTGGTATTGATGAGCCTTAATGCAAGCGTTAAATGAGTTAACATGGATTTCAATTTTTTTTGGACTATGTAAATTGACTTCTCTTGCTGTTTGTTTGATATTATGAGCCAATCTTTTAGGATGTGTTTGGGATTGTATTTTAATTTATTATTGTAGAAATTAATGCCACAATTCTATTGATGCAACATTTTTGTTGTTTTTCATATATTTCTGTGGTGAATATGAGATTTTCATAACCAGATTTGATAGCGTGATGGTTGTAAGAAAGATGCCATTCAACTTTTTTGAGAGGTAAAAGGTCTATATTTCTTAGAGCAACTTTCAAAAAGTCTACTTTTTCAATAATGGTTTTGCAATTAATTTTAAAGATAATTTTGACCATGCCAAAATAAGTTTTAATATAAAATTATTAATTTTTAAAATAGTATCAACCATATGAAAAATTCTTAATATCCTTTGAATAGGTTATTCTGATAAATCTTTGTTCAAAAGGTATGCCGTCATGGTTCTTTTTTTTCCACCTCTAAATTGTCGAACTTTTGTTTATGATCTTTTGCTCTGCAAAAGAAGTTATCTTTGTTTTTTTTTCCTGTCTGTGCCAACAACTTTTATTTGTTATTAAATTTTGATTTATTATTTATACTAAAGGTTTAAGAAGAAAAACATGAAAGAATTAGTGAAGACGCTTCATAAGTGCAATGAGGAGCTAAAGCAGTTCAGCCACGTTAATAAGAAAGCACTCGACGAGTACATGAACTTCACGGAACAGCGAGAGCAGTTGCAGAATAGAAGAGCTGAACTTGATGCAGGCGATCAGGTAATTAGTATTTTTTGATAAACATGCCATCCAATCTTTATATTGTTCCTCATTGTACTTACTCTTTACCGTTTTTTCACATGAATGTAATTCTGCAGAAAATACGAGAACTTATTTCTGTTCTGGATCAGCGGAAGGATGAATCCATCGAACGTACTTTTAAAGGAGTCGCCCGAAATTTTCGTGAAGTTTTTTCAGAGCTTGTACAAGGTGGGCATGGGTTCTTGGTAATGATGAAAAAAAAGGTTAGCTCCAATTATACATCTTTTCGGTTTTACCTTTTTTAAAGGGGCGTTTACATACATTCCACCCAATTCATATATATTTACATAATATAAACTTTTTTTTTTACATTTATTCCACCCAATTCTTTCGTATCACATAAAAAATACCACTATTTTTAAGTTTTAAAGAGACCTTTTCATGCATAGGTAAGGTGGCATGTATATAATTGAAGTCAGGTGTTGTATTTGTAAATACATAGGAATTGAGTGGTATGTATATAAATCTTAGTTTTTTTAAATACCTTTACGAAGTGTTTCTCTCTCATTCATTAATCTTCTGCATAATTTGTACATTCTTATGCTAATGATGCTTTCTTGCTGGAAAGTTTAACTCTTCTTGATTTGCATTCTTCTCCAACGCTTTTTAAGATACTATCATTAGCATTTTACATGCTGTTGTATTTTAGTTGTTCCTAGTTGCATGCCTGGGTTACCTCAAAGTGAGACTGAGAAGATTACTCATCCTTCAGTATTTTTGTAATCCTGTTTCTATATATGTGAATCATTAGATTTATGCGTTGCTGTTGAAATAACGGGCTGTATTATTAACGAGCTAAAAGTCTTTTGGGCTAAATTTATATCTTGCAAACCTCTTGCTTTGCATTAAGTCGATAAGTGGATAATCGTATTTCAAGTCTTCTCAGTACTTCAGAGATTTTACTTGGATTTGTGTTATTTTTTCTCTGTTGTTGTATAAGCGATAATTTTTCTCTGTAAAGGAAGGAGAGCCTCTTGATGATGAAAATGATGAGGATGGACCTCCGAAAGCGGACCCCGAGGGAAGAGTGGAGAAGTACATCGGTGTAAAAGTAAAGGTATGGCTTTTTATTTTTGATCTCATGATGTCAAAATTGAAAGTCTCTAAAATGATGATCAGGATTGTTTATCTCTGCAATATTAGAAATATTCAGTTTTTCTTGTTTGGAGGATTTTCATACATACCACTTAGTTCCTATGTGTGGTAACGTTTTAGAAGTTGAAATTGTTATATTTTTGATGTGATATGAAAGAATTGGGTAGTATAAATGTATAAACCAAAGTTTAGGTGTTAGATACGTTAGTATATAAGAACTGAGTGGTATGCATGTAAATGCCCCTGTTCTTGTTTTTGTACTTATATCTTGGTCTGACTGCCCATTATAACTAGGCATTCAAATTAAATGTTGTCGAATTAAACAAGTTATGTTATTAGAAAACGATAACATCTAATAACATTATCCAAACGATTTTTTAAAAAATGTTTCAAAGTACTTCATCGACATTTAAAATGTTGTCTCTTTACATTTTAGTAACAAAAAAATGTTCTTATTTTCGACAAGATGCATTACAAACCGCATTTCATATTGATTAATCTTGGAGGCAATTTATTTCTCTTTTTTTTCTTATTCACTTAACCTAAATATAAGCATGTATTGCTTGTGCTGATTTTATAATTCCATAAATATAGTCCCTCCAAATTCTCTACCTCTCCCCGTTAACATAATATTAAAGAAATTCAATCTCTCCTAGCTCGCTACTCATGCAACCTCCTCCAGTGCTTCTAACACCAATGCAATCTCTAAATAACGGAATCTTTGGGAATTTGATATCTTGTTACTACTATTTTCAACTTAAGTAGGCATTTTCTACGCCACATTAGTTCACAGGGAATATTACAACAACAATAACAAAGCCTTTATCCCTCTTAAGTGGGGGCGGCTACATGAATCATTTTTCTCCTTTGTATCCTATTGAGTGCCATATTTTCATTTAATAGTGCTAACACAATGATTAGAAGGATTCATGTCATGTTTTTTCGATAAGTTTTATGATGGGGGCGGCTACATGAATCATTTTTCTCCTTTGCATCCTATTTAGTGTCATATTTTCATTCTAACACAATGATTAAAAGGATTCATGTCATGTTTTTTCGATAAGTTTTATGCTGGCTGTCAAATTATTTCTTAAACGTTAAATATAAATTATTAAATCAATATATTTCTTCACTTAGGTGTCATTTACTGGTCAAGGAGAAACTCAGTCGATGAAACAGCTCTCTGGTGGTCAGAAAACCGTAGTGGCATTGACACTGATATTTGCCATACAGCGCTGTGATCCGGCTCCATTCTATCTCTTTGATGAGATTGATGCAGCTTTGGATCCTCAGTACAGAACATCTGTTGGTAGTATCCTTGCAATAATTTTTGTTATTTGTGTTGTATTTCCATTTTTAGGCCCCTTTTTGCATTTTGCAGAAGTTTCTTATCTTATAAACATTTATTTTTTGTATATATCTCACACCTAAACTCTCATATTTACCCACATGGCACTCAAATCTTTAATCTCACATAAAAAATAGCATTATTACCACTTTTTAAAAGCGAAACACAACTTTTCTTGCATGGGTTTAAAACACTGAAGTGCTTTATATGCAAATATGAAAGTTAATGTGTGAAATATGTAAATAAATAAGAATTGTGTGCTATATAAGTAAATCTCCTTTAAGTAAATTTCCCCTTATATTTAGCTAGTGATACTTTCTGAACTGCTTAGTCATTCTAAACTGTTGAAGCATGCTTAGTTGTAATTTTGCTCTTAAAATTTGACCCAAATTTAAGAGAACTGACATTTTTTTGCTAACTTGTTTTTTAGCCCACTAAACCTTTTTTTTAGTCATTCTGAAGGAACTGTGGTCTGGAAAAGCTATTAGTATTATTTTTATTATTTTTTATTATTTTTTTCCCATTTTTCTATATTTGGGCTTTAGATTCTCCTTTCATCTTGTAAGTGCAACAAGTCTAACAATAGATTTACATATTTAGACCTGGAAATATAGTCAGTCTGTGCCTCTGGCGCAATCATGAAATCTTATCAACTGTACAGGACCAAAAGATATATAAATCAAGGGGCATTTACATACACAGCACCCAATTCCTACATATTTATATATCTAACACCTAAACATGAATTTTTACATATATGCCATCTTATTTATGCATAAATGGTTGTATTACACTTTTAAAAAATAAAAATAGTAGTATTTTTTATGTGATATAAAAGATTTTAATTGGCATTAATGTAAAAAGCAAAATTTAGGTGCTAGAATATGAACACAAAAGCATTGGGTGATATGTATGTAAATCTCCCTTAAATCAGTCTCTTCGGGCACTTTTAAATCTTTCCTTAAAGATCTGTGTTCTAACAATTCGTATACGACTGTGTTTCACTTAAATTCGTTAAAGATATGATCCGTCGTTTGGCCGATGTGGCGAATACGCAATTCATAACCACAACATTTCGTCCGGAGTTGGTAAAAGTTGCGGATAAGATATACGGCGTTACTCACAAAAACAGAGTTAGCCATGTCCACGTTGTTTCGAAGGAGGAGGCTCTCGATTTTATCGAACAAGATCAGAACCAAAGTGCTTAATCAGGTGAATTATTTCAGACTTTTTCTCTATTTTAGTTGTTAAATCAGCTAAATTTGTGAGGTAATTTTGGTAAGTAAACTTGATTTATTATTTACAGGTTTGCTTTTACCTGATATATTATGCAGCTGTGAATGTCAGCAGGCATGAACATATAGTACTTTTCCTTCCTCCATTTCAACTTTAGCAGTGTCTGCAATTTTTAATTTTTGTTTCTGTAAATTTTGAATTACTGAGGGAGTAATTTGTAGCATGCATTATGATTTTTTACTCTAGAAACCAATTATATGTGTTAGTAGATTGAAGTTGTATTGGATGTGAAGAACTTTATGCTAATTTTTCCATGGCCTAAACTAGTCCAAGGTGATTTATTCCTACTTTTTTGCTTTCATTAAGCTTTTGATTGTTTGGGCATATAATTCACAAATACATGAATTTGATAGTTGTAACATCTTATATTAGCTTTGTAAATAATATAAAAAAAATCCTTTTTTTTCACATAAAAATCCTTTCTTTTACATAAAAATCCTGCCTTTTTTTTCTTGGATGGCTTTTCACAACACAATCTCAAAAGAATGATTTGTTGCAACTTAAACCTTCTTGCTTGTTTGTAATTCAGACATTTTTAGGGTTCTTTTTTGGCAACTCAAATTATCTTGAGATGCTTTGTTGTAAATTATTCTTTTTTTTCGTTAAATAATGATTGTTTTTGTTATGATTTGATTGTTGTTTTGAGGGTTTTTTGTTGCACTGCTCACCTTAGAATCTCAGTGATGTGTTTTTTTGTAATTTAAATATTTTGAGGAAGGTTTTTTTTTTTTTGTAATTAAAAAATTTTTAAGAAATTTTTTTTTCTCATTATTTATGATCTAAACCTTGCCAATATAGTTTATTGTAATTTTAGTTTTTTTTTTTCTTTATATGGAAGGCTCAGGCATATAGGGCTCTTAAAAAAGCTCGTTGTTCGCGAACAACTCGTGTTCGGCTAGTTCCTTAAGTAAAAAGTTCATTAAGTAAACGAGCCGAACACGAATAACTCTTTGTTTGTTCGTGTTCGGCTCGTTTTAGCTTGAAATAATATATTATATATATTTTTATCTAAATTAAAATCATAATTGCCAATGTGATAATGTAGTTAAGCGTTTTGCATATATTTAGCTCAAGTTCGAATCCAACACTATATCTATTTTTATTTTTGTTTAAGTTTGACGAGCCAATTTCAAGCCGAATACGAACACACTATTCACGAGCCGGTTTTGAACACGAGCCGATTTTGAACATGAACAATTTCGAACAAGCCGAACATGAGCTAAGCTTGGGCTCGATCAAGCTCTCGGCTCGTTTACAATCCTATAAGCAGATGAAGCTCAATGATCAAAGTTGGATCAACTCACACCTAAATCTTGGCCATACTTAATTCCAATATCCTACAAATACTTTTCATAATATTTTGGGGCTTGTACATTCATGCCTCACAAATATTATGTATTTAAATATCTAACACCTAAATTTTTATATCTTCATGCATAACCACTCAAAATCATATTATTATATCAAAAGTATCATTCATATTAACTTGTAAAGAATGCATCATGTGTTGGTTTAGGACACCAAAGTGTAAATATCAAATATTAGGTGTTAGATTTATAAATACAAATAAATTGTGGGGTATGTGTGTAAATTCTGCCAAGCTAATTCAACTAAAAAGCCTCCATATGGAGGGAATTTTGTTTGTTGATATAAGATATGGAAATTATAATTCTTTAAATAATGATTTAAAAATTTGTGAAATAGTTTAGTTCTATTCTATTCTTAGCACCTATAGCTTACTATTTATATTTCTTTGTTGATCATTTGAATGCTATTTGTGTTGCTTTGGAAAATTCATATGGAAATTTTGCATACAAAACATAAAATTTTTATGTATTTACTAATTTAACGCTAAATTTGATATTTACGTAATATTTTCGTGTGAAGAGTCTATGCATGAAAAAGAGAATTTCACGAAGTTAATGATTGATATTTTTGATGTGATGTTAAGGATTTTAGTGATGTGAATGTAAATATAAAAATGTAGGTGTTAGCAATATACAGACAAAAATTTTTATGTATGAATGTAAATGCCCGAATTCATGGAAGGCGAGCTTTTTTCATATAATTTGATAAAAAAAAATTATTGCCCTTTGATTTGTAAAGGCTAATGAAGTTTTCATGTCCATAAAGAGCTCCTTATAGAAAGCATGATCTTAAAACTCGTGAACAAGATATAACATAAATGTGCATGAATAATTGGCTGTCATGGGCGAATGATAGAGTTGATGGGTCTTATTGGCTCGCGCCATGGTTAATGGATATTTGAAGAACTGCATGGTTCACTCTTCATTACTAGGCTAGCTAATATATTTTCTTAATCCAACTGATCTGCTAGAATTATTTACCAAACTGATCTCTTGAACTGACCTATTAGGCTGGCTCAGCTAAGTGA